TGCTGAATCCTGCATCTCAGCTATGCAACTAGGATGTGGTGGGGGGTCGTGGGGAAGCGGCATAAGAAGAGCAGCACTGGCAGACAGGAGGGGGAAGTGGCGGGAGCATGGGACCTGTGCTGGTCCCCAGGACCAGAAGTGGCAGGAGCCTGGGTTTGGAGGAGTGCTGTTGGGGGTTCTGCCTGCTGCGCGGGGGTGGGGGTGGGGGGAGAGATGCAGTGCACAAACCATCCTCCTCCACACATGCCACAGCCTTCCCCAGCCACCTTCTTCCCACACACTCAGTCCCTCACAAGCCCCATATCCACCCACACCCCACACATACTCACATGCTCCTTCACCCACACGCCCTACGCCTATCCACCCCCCGACAAATGCCACACCCACACCCCACATACCCACCCCGCCCCCCAACAATATACAAGAGTAAGACTTCATTTTAAGCTATTATACTATCACCTCTATGTATACTACACAAACAAATCAGGACAAAAATATTTTCTGAAATAATATTAATGAATGTTGTAGTACATGTTTAATTTTTAGAATATAATATGGTATTTTTCTGGTTCTGAGATGGAGAAACCCCTGGCTGAAAGGAGTACTTCCAGGGGACAACGGGAGGGACGTCTGGTGGCAAAGGTCAGGGATCAGGGGGAGGGACTTCCAGTCCCAAGATAGCAACCAGGGGGCGGGACACCAGTCAAGGGGCGGGGCTATCCTTGCGGCCCTCAATGGCGTGTCAAAACTTGCTAAGCGGACCTCCACCTGAAATAATTGCCTGCCCCTGTACTATTTCATTGCTGAATGTCTAAAACCAGCAAGCATGAATGGTCTATACATGCTTGCTAGACTTGCTCCATCGGATAGCAGAAGAGTGGCTGTATGCAAAACAGAACAGTTGCAACAGAACCGAGAAACTAGGTATCTGTAGGGACCTATTAAATTGGGGCAGAAGTGCGCTGCACAGTAACTCCTTTAATCTTGCTCTTTTTGCTGTGTGTCCCCCCCTTCCTGCCAATGATTGGTTGAAGGGCCCCACTGGCTTTGTTGCTCATCAGCCAGGAGGCAAAAACTGGTTTTAAATATGCCACCGTTTTTGCCTCCTGACCAATCAGCAGCAAGCAGCAGAGCTGTCAGCACCCATCAGGCAATCAGTGGCGGGAGACAAAAATCACAGCATATTTAGAACTGGATTTTGCCTCCTGGCTGATAAGCAGTGAGTAGTGGGGCTACCTGGAGGAACTCTGATTGTGTAAGTGTCACAGATCAACACCACTTTTGAGGGAAGCTCTGTCTCTGGGCTTGCCAAGAAACTTTATTTGGTTTCCCTATCCCAAAGAACCCTGAAGCCAGCCTAGGCATGGCTTTACAAGGGGCAAGCCTCTGGCTTTTAGGCCCTGGCTCTTCTCTGTCCCTGGTAATCCATAGCACCCCCACCTTGGATAGCCCCTTCTTATGGTCAGCTCCTGGGAAGAGGGGTGCTTTCCTCTCCATGGAGGGAGGCTAGGGGTGTCAGAGTGCTAACATCCCAAACAGCACAGTAGACAGCTGCAGATCTCTCTGCCCTTCCTTGGACTATTCCTCTCTCTCTTCCCCAGCTCTTTCGGAGCCCCCCTCTTCCCCTGGCACAGACAACCACACTCCCAACTAAATAAATCCAGAGACTAACACTAACCCAATAAAATTAAACGATGTCATGGAGAACCATGACAATATCAAGGAGCAGTCTCTGTGGCCTGCTCCCAGTCCCAGATTGCCATCTCCCCTGGGGTGAAAAGGGCTTAGAAGTGTCCTATTTATGAAACTATTCAAAGCAACTATTCACAGCAAAGCATGCTCACGCTGAGCCCCCAGAGAGTGTCCTCCACCAGAACTACAGGCTAGAACTTAGCCCACTTAGCCCCTTTGATCACAGTAAGACACCTTGCAGGACTACTGTCTGAGTGATATGTGCCTGATACTGGAAAAAATAAATTTGTAATTGAGGTGGCAGGACACAAGAAGAAAATAAGTTTATCAGTTGAAATAATCTGCCCAATCATTAGGGTCCTGTAAAAATGGCAAGAGGAACAAAGTTTTAGCTGAGTCCACAGTGAACAGATCACTAACCGACTGGACTAGTCAAACTAAAATATTAAAACCACTATTTGTAAAACAATTATTCTAATTAGAATAGTTCCCCAAGGGATATCAGTGATAGCCCACCTCCAAAGATAAAGTAAAATGATATGGTTAGAGATTTTATGTTGGAGGGAGGAAAGTTACACAGGAGAACCTATGAAGGACCGTAAGCATTAACAAATATGCCAGCAAATAATCTGTAACAATTAGCCTTAGTTAAAAAAAAAAAATCTCCACAGAGGTTTGAAAGAATAAACTATCACAAAAACAATCAAACCACCTTTGAAATATATTTAGACACAAGTATAAATTATGCATATTTAGAAGATTTAAAAAGCAGGGGGTTATTAAATGCAGTCTGAATAAAGCCAGGTGCTACTAAGTTAGCAATGCTTAAAGCAGTTAAAGCTTATCAGTTTTTTCTGATGTTTTTCAATTCACACTTATAAAATTTTAGTTGTAAATGTATTCATTCATTAATAGGACATTGTTTAATTGATTTCACTTTCTCTTGCATTTTTATCTTGAGTCCATAATAATGCAGGGGTTGCCAACCTACAGCTTGTGGGATCTGATCTGTGGAACCACCGGATCCAGCCTGTGTACCCAGGGGGGCCCTCACAGCCTTCTGGCTGTAGGAGGCTTTGCCTGTGCTGCAGCTGGATGGCACAGAGAAGTAACAGTAGTGATAGCACCAGGTCCTACTGCTAACCCACCTCAGACCCAAACTGTGTAATTCCAGCCTGCCAAAAGAAAAAGGCTGCCGCACACTAGACTAAAGGACTATAATTATTAACAACTTATGTCATTTTTAAATGCTTCTGACACAAATTATTAAACTAGGGCCCTACTGTGCTAGGTATTGCACCAATACATCATAAAATACAGTTCCTGCCACTAAGAAACATACTCTAAATATAAAAAGAATATATATTTCCCAAAATAGTTTTGATGTAGCTCACACAGTGGACCCACTGCACAGCTCAGTGTTTTGATGAC